CCTGCAGGTTACAGGGCTCAATCCCACAGGACTGCCCCCCCTCCCCGCGCCACACACACACACACACACACACACATACACTTCAGACACAGCTGTAAGCCCAGGCTGTCTGTCACCTGTCCTCCTGACCAACTGACTATAAATTAGGGTTCCAATGATCCCCTCCTTTGGGTTCTAATAATTTGCTAGAGCAGCTCACACACCTCAAGGAAACATTTTACTTACATTTACCAGTTTATTACAAAAGGATATGATAAAGGATACAGAAGAACATCTAGATGGAAGAGAAAGGGCGAGGTATGTGGGATGGGGCTCTCTGACAGGCCGCTCTCCCAGTACCTCCACATGCTAGCCAGCCCAGAAGCTGCCCAAGCTCCATACTTCTGGGATCTCATGGAAAATTCATCACATTGGCACGATGGATCATTAATTTCATCTTCAGCCCCTCTCCCTTCTCAAGAGAATGGGAGCGGGACTGGAAATTCCAAGCTTCTAATCATGGCCTGGTCTTTCTGGTGACCACCCCTCACGCAGGATCCCCCCTCAGAGTTGCCTTAATAGAGCAAAAGACACTCCTATCACCCATGAAGTTGCAAGGGTTACAGGAGCACTGTGTCAGCAACTGGGGTCAAAGACCAATATTAGAACAAGAGTTGCTTCCAGTTAGGATCTTACAAGGTTTTTAGGAGTTCTATGCCAGGAACCTGGGCCAGGTACCAATATATATATTTCTATTATCTCACAGGGATATATAGGAATTATTTGTACCATTTGGGGATTTCTATAACTCTGAAAGTACTTCAGAAGGAAAAGTTAATAATAAAATACACACACATAGAACCATGTATCCAGATTGCTATCTCTTCTAGAATGCCAATAAGGATACTTCAGACTCAAGCCCAAAACTGAACTGGGCACCTAATCTTCCCCTTCTCCACCCTTCAAACTGGGTGTCCTTCCAGCATTCTGTATCCTACAGAACAAACGCCATTCATCCGGATGTACAAGTCTGATAGTCATCCTTGACACATCCCCTCCCATAACTAACCTATCACCACATCCTGTGGATTTTACCCTTCTAATATATGTATCTTATAGTCACAATTTCTCTCCACTTTCACCTTCACCTCCACCACCACCACCATCCAAGTCATCATCATCTCTCACTGAGCCCGCTACAAAGAACTCTGCAGCCAGCCTCCCTGCCTTCACACTTACCTCTCCGACCATTCACATCATCTTTTCAAAATACAAATTTAAAGACAGCTTAATGCAATGCATGACCCTTGATTGGTTTCCCAAAAATAAAAAGTTATAAAGGACACTAATGAGACCACTGGGGAAATTTGCATGTCAGCTGTGTATGAGATAATAATACTGCATGAATGTTAAATGTTTTGCGTGTGGTAATGGTATTGTGGTTATGTAAGAAAATGTCCTTGTTTTCAGAAGATAGATGCTCAAGTCGATGGTAGTGCAATGTAAAGATTTTTGCAATTAACTCCCAAATGACTGAGCAAAAATAACAATGATTTAATTATTGTTATTATAGACATACAAAGTCAAAGAGAGACAAAGCCAGTCTGGTAAAATGTTGTCAGTGAATCTAGATGAAGCATAAATAGGGAGCTCACTTTACTAATCTTGCAACTTTTCTGAAAGTTTTTAAAAATTTTTTAAAGGCTAGGAAAAAATATGTCATTATGTTCAATTTCTTGAGCGAGATAAAGATATTATGGTTATACAGGAGAATATCCTTTTCTTAGGTGATACATGTTGGAGTACTTGATGGTGAAATGCCTCTACTATCTGCAACTTATTTTCAAATTTGGTAAGTATATTTTTAAAGTATACAGGTATATAAAAATACTTGAATATATATTTATAAGCATATACTATACATAAATGTAAAAAATATTGAAAGGTAGCTATTGCTTTGGATCCTATTTTTCTGCAGGTTTGACATTTTTCAAAATTAGAAGCTGGGGAAAATACTTGGGAATATATGGAGAAATAATCGATAAAATATTAAAGATAAAAAATAAAATACAAATTGAAAACTTACATATCATCTCGGAAAAAAAGCTCATCCCGTTACAACCCTGCTTAAAACCTTCACTAGCCTCCCACTGCTACCAGGATAAAGACAAAGTCACCTAACAAGGCCTACAAGGTCCAGTATGGTCCAGCCCCTGCCTTCTCCCAAGCACGCCTACCTACTCACTCACTCCCCATCACCATTATCTCTGCCCCCCCCCCCCCCCCCCGCCCTCCTCCAGGCTCCGACTACACCTAACTAGACCCTAAGTAACCACTCTTCCAAAGTTCTCTCTCCTGGCCTTTGCGTGTGCTACTACCACAGCTTGACTATGAGGGACTGAGACAGCGGCTTTCGAGCTGTCTCTTCTAAACCGTTCTCCTAAAATCTCCTCTCTGAAGTTTCCTCTGCGCCCCAGGTCTGGCTGACATGACTCCTTAGAATCCTGTTCTCCGTCCCATCATAGCACTTAGCACACAATATTGTAACTGCCCGCTTGCTTGTTCATCCTCAGTGCTCTTGAAAATTCTCGAGGACCAGACCAGCTTTATTTCCCAGTCTCCAGGACTGGTCTGCGCACAGTAATTATGTGTCCAGTAAATGTAACGAGCTTCCATTTTCTTGTATGTAAAGTAAAGGAGTTCAGCTCGATGGCAATAAAATGTATCAAATAACAGCAGTCCCAACTGAGCAGGAATTCCCGGATTTTTTCCAACCCTGCTTCACAACCTAAAAGCACGAGTCTCCAAAGCTCATAGACTACAATTCCCGTGAGCCCTCGGGGCATCACGTGGCGCCTGCCCATTCCATTACCGCGTAGCTAGGACTCCATTTCCCAGCGTGCCTCAGGACGCGACGACGGCGTTTGTTCGAGAACTTCAGGAGTCCGGTCCCTGAGCCACAACTGCGGTAGCCAAGGCTGAGCGGAAGGTAGAAAGGGCCCAGCCTGGGATTTAAAGGGGACACTGGCTCAACCACAAACCCCGAGTTGCGCGTACCCTGTCTTTGCAACCGCCGGCCCACTCCCTGCTAAATGTGCCTGTTCGCGGGCCCTTTCCGATCCCTCGTAGGCCCTCCGCTGCCGGCGGCTGGAGGCCAAATTCCCCCACGTCACACAGAGGGAAGGGTTGGTGTCTGGAGTTGAGGCGGGCACCCTGCAGGAGCGGAGTGCGGATGTGGGCGGTTCGGGGTGGGAGGCCCTGACCCTCACTGCTCTGGGCCTTGTCTTTGCGGTAGCCGATGCTGAGTGGGCAGCTGGTCGGGCGCCTGTTCTCCATGGCTGGTCGCGTCTGTTTGTCCCGGAGCAGCGCAGGATTGGGGACTATCGGTCCCGTCGAGGCAGCTATTCGCACGAAATTGGAGCAGGCCCTGAACCCCGAAGTGCTGGAGCTGCGCAACGAGAGCGGCGGCCATGCGGTCCCACCAGGCAGCGAGACGCATTTCCGCGTGGCGGTGGTGAGCTCTCGCTTTGAGGGACTGAGCCCATTACAACGGCACCGGCTGGTCCACGCTGCCCTTTCTGAGGAGCTGGCTGGGCCAGTCCACGCACTGGCCATACAGGCGCGGACCCCGGCCCAGTGGAAGGAAAACCCTCAACTGGACATGAGCCCCCCTTGCTTGGGTGGGAACAAGAAAACTCGGGGAACCCCTTGAGACTCGGGAGAGGGAAGACCAGGATGCTAATGGTTTGTGAATAAACTACGGGCTTTCTTCCGGTCAGTACAGTCTGGTGTTTGTAAGGGATAAGGATCCTTGGGTCCCATTCAGCCAGCATATACATATTCTCTGGAGATCAGAGCTTACCCAAGGAAAGAGTAGCCTCGGGTGATGGGGAGGGCTTCCCTGGGGGGAGTGACCTAATTGGATCTTTAAAGGAAAGTCGACTTAAACCGGAAAGGAGAGGAAAGATGTTACAAGTAGGGGGAAGAGCTCAAGCAAAGGCAGAGAAGCTGGACAAGACAGTGACTTGATTGGACAAGACAGGAGTTACAAATACATTTGAATTTCATACCAGGGAAATGTTTGGCTTTCTATCAACCTGTCCATTTCCAAAAGGATTTGCCTTTGTTTCTCAGAAAAATCCTTAACAAAAACTAAAACACACTAAGGCAGTGCAAAGATGATAATACAAAAAATGAATATAGAGGGAGAAAACTTTATATATAGTCCTTTTCCTTATGAGCCTTTTAAAGTATTTCTGAGGGGAGCTGAAGTGATGTCCAGATAAACAACTTTAATGACCTCAATGTGGCAATAGACTCTAGATACTAAAGAAAAAGATGAACATAAATCTTGATCATTTTGAGCTATAGTTTAGACTGCATCTGGTTGGACAATAGGAAGTCACTGAGTTTTGAGGAAGGGCATACCACAGAGCATTCTGGGGCAGAGTGACCTGGCAGTGATGTGTAAGTGAATTGGCATAGGAGATGAGAGGCGCAGAGATCAACCAAGAGGGAAGATGGGACCCTGACTTCAAGGTCAGCTGTAGGCTGGAAAGGATGGAGTTTTATTAGAGAGCTACCATTAAAAAAAAAAAAAAAAAAAAATCAGAAAATGGCTTGATTAGAACAGAGCGCAGACATAGCCATTTGGGATTTTAAGGATTTATTTCCTTTTTATTTTTCATCGTTATTTTTAATTTCATTTTTCACATCAACAGAGTTGAGTTTAGGGGGGTTCCCCAGGAGAGCAGGAGAGATGGATGGGTCCCTTCAGAGGGCACAAGGGAGAAGGCTGCGTCTAGCAAATGAAGGATAAGGAAAGGGGGTACACACTTGTACACTGGGCACTGGAGAAGGCAGTCCTTTGAGCACAGACACCAAAGAGTTAAACAGTCCCCACCTGGTTCAGTGTTACAAAATGGGGGGAGAGACCATAGGGTGGGGGCACCAGACGCAGCACGAGGAGGGTGAATTTGGATTTTCTTTCTTGTTGTTGTTTTCACTTTTTTCCTTTTAACTTTTTTTTTTAACATTTTACAAACAGCTAAAAACTACAACACGTCACAGCTACGGTGGGGGGTGGGGGGGCAGGAGGGCACCAAAGAAAGCAGCCACAGTGGGGTGAGACAAGGGCAGCTTAACTTACCGGGGCTATCATGTAGAAAGGGTGAAATGGGGAAACTGAGGCTTCTGGTCCCACATTAGGGGGTCCCTGGCTTATTGCCCAACCTCTTCCCACTTCAGAGGAGTTGCTAGGAGGGCCCCTGCTTTCTGCCCCTGCCCCAGCTCCTTGTGCTTTTTGATCTGCTGGTTTGACCCCATGCCTGGTTTCTTTCCCTCCCCTGCTACCCTGCCTGTGAGGGGACAGGTGTGGGGGTGGGAGGGCAGCTGTGCCGTCCCTGTCTGTGCTATTGTGGGTAGAGCCTCTCACTCCAGAGGCCTGTGCTTCTTGAGAGGAGGCGAGGAGATGGACCTCGTCAGGTGCCCTTGGTCCAGCTAGACTGCAGGACTCATCCTAGCCTGGCCTGGGGCTCCTCCCTCCCAGGCCTGGCCCAGAAACAAGATTAGGGGAGGGACTATGGGAGGCAGGTAGTGTGTGTATCCACGGAGATCACCCTTGGCTTATATCTTAGGACAGTGACACCCCGCCCCACGGCACATACATACACATACGTGAAGTGTTACACACACATTCACACACACACAGTCCTGCTGAGCTGCCTCAGAACTTAATATATAAATAAATAAGAATCAGCTAATTTCATAAAACTCGGGCTCCTTACTTGTAGCCCAAATTGGTGGGGGGGGGGAGTGGAGGCCAGGGGGCTGAGGTTTATTGCTACTCCCCCAGCATCTGACAGCTGTGAGAGGGCACCTGAGGCCCTTCCAACTCTAAGAAGTTCTTTTGGTCCATGGACTACACGGAGCCCCAGCCCCCAGCACAACCACATGCCCACGGTTTCACCAGGGCCCAGGTAGAGGGGATGAGGGGGAGGGCAGGAGGCCTGTTCTGGACCCCCTAGAGCCAGGAAAAGCTAGGATCCCTCACTAACACTGGGGGAGAAGGGGGAGCCGAGCCTTCTCCTGTGCAAAGTCAACGGGGGGTAGGAGGTGGGGAGGAGAGCTGCATCCCCAAATGGGGATGAAAGAGCCTTCCCTGTAGTTCCTGCCCACGGGGTCACACACATGCACACGTGCACGCGCACACACAAACACACGGCTAAGACACGGAACACAGGGGAGTGGGGAGTGAGGCTGCTCGGGCCGGGATGGCAGGGCAGGGAGGGAGAAGGAGCCGTTGGCCTCACAGTGTGCCTGCCACCCTCGAAAGCCCGGCGGCCCTCTCACTGCAGCACCTGCCCCCGAGTCTCAGGCAACTTCAGGGCCAGAGAGCTCCCGAGGGCAAGCGCGGCCGAGGCAAAGAGGATGGGGGCAGCCTTGGTGATTCCCACAAAGGATGTGAAGATGCTGATCCCCAGCACGGCTGCCAGTTTACAGAGGGCGTTCAGGAAGCCGAAAGCTGTGGTCCTGTTCCAAGTCCCCAGGGCAGTCGGAAGAGGAGATAAAGAAGAGGCACGGGAGGATTTGTGGGGGATGGGCAAGTAGGTGGGAGGGCAACAGAGAGATGGCAGGTGGCGTCCGAGAAGGAGAGGAAGGATGGAAGGATAGGAGAGGTGAGGCATGGACATCAGGGAATAGAGATTGGGAGGTAAGGTGAAAAGACCAAAAAATTTGGTTAATAGCTAAGACTTCAAGGAGCGAATACTAAAGTTAAAAGCCCTTAGAGGAGAAATTCCATGTGAATGTGCGTCCTTCTAACCCTAAAGATGACCACTTCCTTATCCCACCTCCCCCAAAACCTGCGGCCCTGCCCCCATGACACTCCTACTACCTCTTGTCCGAGGGGTAGAGTTCAACGGTCAACACGTCCAGCGCGTTCCAGGATGCAATGCTGACCCCCCCAAAAAGGCAGAGCAGGGCGATCATGGCTGACTCGCTGTTCCCAAAAGACAGGAAGAAGCAGGAGACACAGGACATCACGCTGGAGCCAGCTGGAGCCAGGAAAGGAGGGAACATGAACCCAGACACAGTGATGCCCATCCACTACCCACCGCATGCCATCAACCAGGCTTGAGGGTAGCCCAGGATGAGACTCTTCTTCCCAAAGGACTCAAAACGAAGGCTCCTCCCTCATCCCCAACCTCCCTTATAATTCTCTTTTTACTAGTAACGTCAGTAACAACCATCTCTTCAATGACAGCTATGGGCCAGGGAGCCTGATCTTTACATGCATTGATCTGATGCATCAGGCAGGTACTGTCATCACCCCCATTTTGCAGACGAGACGCCTGGGCTCAGAGAGGTGAAGTAACTTGCCCAAGGTAGGTGGCAGAGCTGAGATTCAAAACCCATAGCCTCCAAGCCTGCGTGCTCGCTATTCTGCCTACCTCCTTTACCCCCAAGAGAAGCTTCCACGCCAGGCCCCACCCCATCTCACAGCCAAGACCTAAACAGAAGAGAGAGAGAACCTTCTCTGGCTAAGCTTTTCCTTCAGAATCAGGGAAGAAGAGTGTTGACAGCCTCGCCCTGCTCCCCGGCCCCCGAGTCCGTTCTGACACACCACCACCCACCCGCCCCCTTACCAAGCATCCGGAGCCTGCCAATCTTGTCCATAAGCAGGGCAGACACGATGTTCCCGGGAAGCACAGCCAGTGTCCCCAAGAAGCTGACAAAGTACACCATGTAGGCGCCTTCGCCGGTCCCTGTCACGTCCAGTGGGCAGCCCTCCTTGTTGTGCAGGAACGTGCTGTTCACCAGACGGCTGTTCACAAACTTGTACTCAAACAGGTCTGGGGACCAAGACCAAGGAAGGCAGGTGGTCAGTGAAATGTGATAGGGAGGCTCAAGGCAGGGCTCAAGGCGCTGCCTTTGTGGGGTTAGTGGGGCGGCGGGGGGGAGGGGGTAGTGGGGATCAGGGCTCTCAAACTTGCTCAGGGCATTCATTATAAAACATCAAATGAAAGCACCCTGGCAACCAGGATTGTTCCTATGGTGCAGGAAATGACCATAGTCTATGAAACGGAACAGTGGAACCGGCTGTTTCCAAGTTATCTCACTAATAATCTTTGCTTCTTATTCATTCCTTTTGTCTGCCCTAGCTGACTATAAGCAGTAGTGGTGCTGTGGGTCTAGGAAAAATTCCTGAGCCAGATATTAAAAATCATTAGAAGTCCTTTCCATTATTTTTACTTGCAAGGTGGGAAAAACTTACCCAGTACTCCATTAGAGGTGGGATCCTCAGTCTAGCTGACAAAGCAGCTGTTCATGTTTGAGAATCACTGTTTTAAAAACTGGACTAATGTGGGGTGCCTGTGGGGGTTCACTGAGTTAATTAAACAGCAGACCCTTGATTCCCACTCAGGTGGTGATTTCAGGGTAGTGGAGTCGAGCCCTTCGTGGTGCTTCCTGCTTACCAGGAACTCTGCTTGAGGCTCTTTCTCTCTCCCTCTGCCCCTCCCCACCCCACCCCTCAAATAAATGTTTAAAAACAAAACAAAAATAAAAACAAAACAGGGCGCCTGGGTGGCTCAGTTGGTTAAGCAATTGCCCTCGGCTCAGATCATGATCCTGGAGTCCCAGGACCGAGTCCCACATCCAGATCCCTGCTCAGCAGGGAGTCTGCTTCTCCCTGTGCCCCTCCCCCCTCATGCTCTTTCTCTCATTCTCTCTCTTTCAAATAAATAAATAAAATCTTTTTTAAAAAAGATTTTATTTATTATTTATTTGACACACAGAGAGAGATATCATAGGTAGGCAGAGAGGCAGGCAGAGAGAGAAGGGGGAAGCAGGCTCCCTGCTGAGCAGACAGCCCGACACGGTGCTTGAACCCAGGACCCTGAGACCATGACCTGAGCCGAAGGCAGAGGCTTTAACCCACTGAGCCACCCAGGTGCCCCCACAAATAAATAAATAAAATCTTAAAAACAAACAAACAAACAAACAGGCACTGGACTAATGCAATGATTTCCAACGTTCTACCCACCAAATATCCCTTTTATGATTTTTTTCCTAAAGACCCTGTTGGAATGAGTTTTGCCCTCTTCAAAAGTGCATTCATAACATCACACAGTTACTTGAATTCCAGCTCAAAGGCAAAGAACTTTGATGTTTTTGCCAGGTAGTCTTAAAACTATTACAGAGAATGTTCCATTTCCGTTCAATTTTTGGAATTCTTGGTAGTAGCTCACAGGCCCACGTACCACCTTCCTGCAGGGCCCCACAGATCTCAGCTTGTGAACCCTGAGCTAGGGAATGAGCAAGGCTCCTTCTCCCCCCTTCAGGGTCCACCCAGCCCTTTGGTCTGACAGCCACCGGCCACACCACCTTACCAGTGTTATAGAACACAGTGCTGATGAACGTGCAGTTGCGGAAGAATGTGTTGCTCGAAGTGACATCCTCGAAATAACACTCCTCAAACAAGGAATCCTCAAAGGACACTGACTTCAGACGCAGCCCGATGAACCTGGAAGGCCAGGATGATGAGACATACTTTCCCCTCATCCTCATATCTTCCTCTAAGACTCATCCCTTGGAAGTGAGGAGAAACCCCAGGTATTTACCCCCCAAACACCCCGTCTCCGAACTCCCAGGCTCATACAAGAGGTAGAAAGGACAGGGACGAAGTGACATGGAAAGCTCCCCACGTACTTGTCATTGAAGTACTGTCCCCCGCGGTGGATCTGATTCTCCAGCGTGAAATTAAAGGTCACGTGCTCCACACGCTCCCCAGAGAACAACTTGGTCCGGGCTGCATAGTCCACTGCCTGGAGATGGCGGATCATGTCAGGAAACCAGACAGTCAGGCCGTAGTAGCTGGAGAGTCAAGGACGATGGAATCAGACAAGGCTCAGGATTAGCACCAGAGGGTCCAGAAATGAGGGGGGAGAGAGTTAGGACCTTGCTCACCTCTCTAGCCTCATCCCTCACCCCTCCTCCCTTCACCGACTGCCCAGGGTCCGGGGGGACTTCACATTGGTCTACTCACCCACCGCACTCTTATCTCCCATGCATCTGCTCTGCCCTTGGCCTGCAACAGTCTCCCCACCCCACCCCCACTCCCAGCCTGTCTAACTTCCATCTGGTCTTCAGGACTCTGATCCCCACCGCCCCCACACACCCCCTCACCTGAATGACATGGTGAACCACACGCCCATCATCATCAGAGTGATGCGTCGATATTCGGGGCCAAAACAGGAGAGGAAATTGCCCCAAACCTAGGTGGAACAGAACAGTCAGACAGAGGTTGCACTAGCTTCTAGTACCCCCAGGTCCCCCCTTCTCCGACTCAACCCCTTCCCTTCAGGTCACCCACCATCCCCACACACAGGCTCCAGCCCTGCCTTCATCTCCACCTCTCCCGCTCCCTTCTCTCTTCACGGACCCATCCCTCGTTACCTGCCCCCCCAGGCTCAGGGCCCGGACCCCCCAGCGCTGGTACCAAGTCCCCGTGTCTGACTGGATTTCGATCAACTCATCCTCCTGATGAATCGTCTTAATGTGGGTTACCTGGGGTCAAGAGAGGGGGTTAGCCACCATATAGTCTGTATTTCCCAACCCCATTCTGGTGCCTCGGTTTCTCCTCCGGGAGCAAAATGCAAGCAGGGGGCGGGGGACAGACGTGCCACGATACCCCGAGAGATGACATCGAGGGAGGGTGTGGGGTATGGTTGGAAAGGTCAGGGAAGGTAGAGAGGGGCTGGTGGGGCTGGGACTGGAGTGCTGTGGCTTACAGAGAAGACTCGCTCAGGATGGCCCTTGGCTCGCATGTTGGTGTCATGAACCTGCTTCAGCACCATCCAGGCCTCATCATGCTTCCCGTTCTAGAGCCACAGACACAGTTCCCGTATCTGGGTTAGCTCCTGCCTGAGCCAGGGCAACAGGCCCCCTCCCTGTGGCCTCTCTAGTCCCAAGATACAAAAAGGCTCCCCCCACTACCTCCGACCTCTGGGCACAGACATCACCTGCTCTGAACGAGGCCCACGAAGGGATACGGCAAAATATAATCAGACTTGGGCCATAGTAGTGGGAGTCCAGGAGACAGATACAACTACGGGTCCTAGGGATCCATGGGGACAATGAAAAGAGAACTAAAAACAAGGGAATTGATGAGGGCAAGGAGATGGTCAGAGGAAGAGCAGCTTCCTAACCCTCCTGGACCAAGATCTACTTGGAGAGGGAAGAAGTAGAGGATGAGAACGTCTCTTGAACTCTAAAGTCGGGACCAGGCCCCCTGCCCACAACATCTTAAGCCACTCCTGGGTGAGGAGGTACCCTCGTTTCTCTGTGCACAGAGACCACCCCCTACAGAGATACAGCACCAGACAAAGGAAGCAAGCCAAAGTCCCCAGAAGTATGGACCCTGCGAGGGTCCCCCAAACCAAACCCACCATGAGTGCTTGAACACAGAACCCCCTGCCTCCCGTCCCCCGGGCCAGCCCCCACTCCACTCACCTCCAGGAAGAAGCGGGGGCTCTCCGGCTGTGTGGTCAGTGCGCCGATGGCAAACACGGAAGGGAAGGCGCAAACAAGGACAAACACCCTCCAGCTGTGGAACTGGTAAGCGGACCCCATCTGAAAGCTCCATCCTGGCAAGGACAAGTCAGCATCAGCAGAGAGGCCCGAGGCTGGGGGGGCTCCCACCACCAGGCACCCGGCCGAAGAGGGAGACACTGGGGCATGTTCCCTGGGGGCTGCTCACCGTAGTGGGGGATGATGGCCCAGGCCATGGCAGCGGCATACACTCCACCAATCATCCAAAACATGCAGAGCCAGCTCAAATGCTCCCCACGTTTCTCCTGGGCCAGAAACTCCGAGAAATAGGAGAAGACAATGGGGATGGACCCTCCAATCCTGGAGGGCATCGCAAGAACTGAGCATTAGAAAATGGCCCGTTCCTGATCCCTTGCCCCAGAGCTCTGCATCCCTGAGCGCCTTTCATCTGCCACACCTTAGTAAAGAGATTTCTCCCACAGTGCCCTGCATACTCCCTCCCCAGCAGCCAGTGAGCACCCATCCTGGGGACCCTGAGAGACAGGCAGGGAGGCCTCTGGGGCAGAGGAGGCACAAACATTGAATCTTGAAGAGGACTACAGAGTTGCACGAGAGGGAAGATAATTATGGACAAGAGGGGAAAAGCCCAGAGGAGAAAGATGGGAAAAGAGTCTGAGGGCAGGTCTGTGAGGAGCAGGCCAAGGACAAGAGCTTGCGGCCCCGGCAATGAACGCATGCTGGTACCTCAGGGAGTGTGGGAGTGTGATGGGTCAAGGCTTCCAAGTTCTGGCCGCTGTGGGTGTTAGCAAGGTCTTTTGTCAAATGCAGGAAATATGTCAACAGGAAAGGGGATAACTCAAGGGTTTACAGGCACCCAGGGCTAAGGCTGAGACCCACCAGGCCTCTTCATGGAGCCAGTCTCAGAATGGAATTAGAGGGTAGGTGGCAGACTGAGGAGAGGACCAGACAAGGAATGGTGTTCTGGACAGGCGGTAGATGGGTCCTGGACAGGGGGAAGCTGGCCTGAAGTTGGTAGGAGAAAGGAATTCATTCAACGCATACAGATTGGAGGGACATCTGGTATGCCAGCATTGTGTTGGGCTCTAGAAATACAACAGTGACCATGGACGGTCCTCCTTCAGGACTCCTCCAGGGGCTTAGGAAGTGGCCACTCACCCAACCCCGGAAAGGAGGCGGCAGAAGAGGAAAGTGCCATAACCCTGGACGAAAGATGAGAAAAAGGCGAAGACGCTGTTGACCGAAAGCGAGATGAGCAGACACTGCCTCCGGCCCAGCCGATCAGCCAGACCTCCCCAGAGGAAGGCTCCCACCATCATGCCCAGGTAGACTATAAGTCCTGAAGGAGGGAAACAGAGGCAGCAGGGGTATGAGAGGACATGCTTCCTTTCTCGCACTTTGTGAGCATTAAGTGAGCTAGAGCTGCAACAGAATGGATCGAGGAGCTGGAGGACTTCTAGAATAGCTAAGTCTACCCAGAGATGAGAGCAAGTAAGAGAAGGTGAAATATGAGTGAGTGAAGACAGAAGGCCACCCCTGCAGGCCAGGGATTCAAAGGCAGGAAGGCAGACATGGGAGACCCCAGGAATTCTTTCTTTCTCCCCCCACCCCCCACCCCTGCTCTCTCTTGCTTGCTCTCAGCTCTTGCTCTCTGTCTCTCTGTCCCTCTCTCTCTCTCTCTCACACACACACCATCCCCATCTCTGGCTTGCCTGGAAGGAGCAATGGATTGTCCCAGACTCTCAAACCCTCCTAGGGTCACCTCTCCCCTACCAGCCTTGATGCCCTCAAAGCAGCAGGAGGGGTCTCTCGTGTACCTGGGAAAGCAGCTCCATTCCTTCTGTCCCCACGCATGAAATCCCCCACACAGAACCTGTCTTTTACTCCTCCTAGCTCTAGGACTTCTGGACCTAAAACTCTCCTGTTTCTTACTTCCTTCCTATATTCGGAGTTGGAACTGATCTTAAAAATCATCTACTCCAGGGGCGCCTGGGTGGCTCAGTGGGTTAAAGCCTCTGCCTTCAGCTCAGGTCATGATCCAAGGGTCCTGGGATCAAACCCCACATCAGGCTCTCTGCTCGGCAGGGAGCCTGCTTCCTCCTCTCTCTCTGCCTGCCTTTCTGCCTACTTGTGATCTCTGTCTATCAAATAAATAAATAAAATCTTAAAAAAAAATCATCTACTCTAAACTCCGCATTTTAGCCATGCTTCAGCCAAGCCCCAAGGAGTGGAGATCTGCCCAAGGTCTCATGGCAACTTGGGAGCAGGGCAAGAACAAGAGATCCTTTGTGCGTGAGTCTGAGGAGTTTCCTCCCTCAGGGTTCACATCAGGAAGGGCCATTAGAGACCACTCACTGGCCCTTGAACACTCCCAAGCCTGGCCAAGAGCAAGTGTGGCCCATCTTCTCTGGCTGAAGATGGACCTAGGATTGTTCCCCTATCCTAGTCAGCCTAAACTGACTTCCCATCTAAACTAGGAAGTTTAGACACTGATTTCTTGTTTCCCAGTTCAGGGAAAGGGTCAAGTTGACAAAAGGGAAGTGTCCAAAGAAACATGGCCACCTCCTGGAGAACTAAGCAGACCACCACCCAAGCCCCAGCCCAGCACAAACGACCTCACTGTGACCCAGCCTCAAGAGGAGGGTGTGTGAGGGGAGAGTGTGCAGAGGAACTCCAAGCCCTCTGGGACATTTTGGGACCAGGGTTCTAGTAGCCCAGTGGTAAAGACAGGGGTTCTCACGACCAGAGGTGTTTCTAGAGTTTGGGGCAGGACCGGGCTAGAGTGCCTCCCCAGTGTGTCTTACCTAGCATGCCTTTGTTGGAGTCTGACAGGCACATGTCCTTTTCAGCGCTGGGCAGCACAAAGCCCACCACAAAGACTTCGACACCATCAGCCATCAGTGCCAGGCCAAGCACGAAATAGAGTGTCCACTGGAAGCGGCCATGGCCACACTCCCGGAGGATGGCTTCATACTGCTGAGCTAGTTCTTCCCGTTCTTTCCGCCGTTGCGCCTCCCCCCGGCCGCCAGGGGGGCCCTCCCCGTCACCCAAGCCCCCCCTCCCACCAGCCAGGGGAGCCCCATCTGCCATCCGCTCGCCTTTGCCCCCAGACTCTGCCCGGGGGATGCCCTGATATTCCCCCTCATAGATCTCATCATCCTCATCGTGGCCCTCAGTGGCATCACTGGATGCGCCACCTTCCTCCTCGTCCTGGGCCCCTTCCCCACGGTAATAGCCATCAGCAGGGGCAGGGAAGTCATCGTCATCGTCCTCCTCCTCAAAGCGGGAGTAGGATCTACGGGAATATTCATCCTGGACTCTGTCCAGGCCCTTCACCACCTTCTTGGTCGCATGCTTCTTGACTTCCTTGGCAATGTCTTTGGCCCCACGGATGAAAGCTGCCCGGTCTCTGAAGCCTTCTTCCATGATGTCTTTGGGAATGCTTCACTATACCTCCTCCACTCCCTGCTCCTTATTCAGATTTTGTTCAAGGATTTGTGAAGTCAGAAAACCTCCTTCCTCCAGGTACTTAGATGAAGTGTGTTCAAATATCTCTAGCCACGGAATGAGAAAATAGGAAAGTCTAGGAGGGGAAAAGAGGGTGAGGAGTGCTGGCCAATTCAGTTGGATACATGGGGAAGGGAAATGGGGAGCAGGGGAATAGGAAAGGAGAGGGGAGCCAGGTTGTGGGGGCTAAGACGAAGAGCCAGGATAACTCAGGAAAGTCCACCTACTTTTCTTCTAGAAGCTTCGGGAGATCTAGAAAATATAAAAAGGGGGAAAAAAGGAGGTTGTGAAGCCTAAGATGATAAAGAAGGCCAAGCTAGAGCTCCCGTTAACCAGAGCCCCTCTGGGGCCACATATTACAGATGGTCTCCTTGCTTCAAGCCCATGCTCAGTAAAAAGGGGTGATTTCCTGGACCAACTGTGGACCGTTCAATATAAGGCCCCTTACTCTGACCTTGGAGATCAGCCCTATGAGATTTCTCTAGAGTCAGGGTCACCTAGAGCCCTCCTCCTGATCCCCTGTCCCACATAAAGATCAGATTCCTTGCTTTACCACCGACCTGCAAAGAACAAAACAGGAAATATGGGAAACCAGAATTCTCTATTCTAGTCCGCTCTGGCTTTCTTACTTGGTGCAGAGCTTGGAAAGAATGTGTATAGGGACCAAGTCCTCCCAACTGTTGACTTCAGTCACCTGAAGTGAGGCTTCTGTGCTCCTCCCCTCAAGTTCCATGTTTGTAGGCCTCACAAGAAGGGGTCTTCTCAGTGGGTAAAAGATGGGTTCCAGAGTTGGAGAGACTTAGGTTTGACTTTTTGCTTCAGCACTTACTAGTTAAGTGACCTCAGGCATGACTCTGAACACCCAGTTTCCTCTTCCTTAAGAAGGGGAAAGGAAGGATTAAATGACACAATATGTAGAAGTTCCTTAGGATAGTACCCAGCACATACAAAGTGATGAATAAATACTAGTCATTACTCCTTGCAATGATGATAATATGGTGAGATCCTCTCCACTCCCTCATGAGACCCCAGGACAAAAGCCACCTCTGAATGTTCATGGAGAAAGCTGGTTTGGGGCAAAGTACACGACAGTTATATGACCTAAGTTGAAATCCCAGCTCTGCCATTTACTTTACTGACTGCTTTTGGGAAAATTATTTAATTTCCCTCAACATCAGTGTCCTTATATTTAAACTGGGGATAATTTTATTTTTCTGAGTCCACAAGAGAATTCAACCTCATAGTAGATATTCTACAAATACTAGTTTCCCTCCTTCCTACTAGATTGAAAAAAAAAAATGTGAAGGAAGCAGGAAGCAGCAAGAGAAGAGCTGGAGGTTGTACTTGGAGGTTGTTGTCCAGTATCCTCCCAAAACAGAGTCCAAAGACCCCTCTGTGTTCAAATTAATTCCAGCAGATGGGCCCACACTGTCTCTCTCCAGACAAACTAAGGAAGACTCAAAAAAGGGGAGACCTGGAACCTGAGGTCATAGAGAAGAGGCAATGTCTGGCTGCTGCCACTTTCCCTCAGGACATCATCCATGGGCCCCTTCCCTAGTGTGCGCAGGAATAGAAATGGCTGATCAGATCTATACTTTTCCATCATGGGGGTCTAATGTCCATAGCTGTGACTCTTTTCTCCAGGGCCTCCCTTCCTAATCCCCCTTAATCCTTCTTGCTCCTCCTCCAGGAGTCCACAAATACTGCACTGCGTAGGAGACCAGGAGAGAATGAAGGGGGCCTTGGGCCTCCCCCCAAAAAAGACATCCTCCAGAGGGAAGCACAGGAGAAGCCCCTTTCCTTCACAGAAAAAGAGGAAGCAGGATGAGATTCTGATCAGAGAACATTCCCCTAAAAATATCCTGCCTCCTGCTCCCACCCATCTAAGGCCTTCCTTAAATGTCTCACATGCATACAGAAGCCCGGGTAGAAGGGGGTAAGTCACGCTACGTGGCTCAGAGAGAAGCACTGACAAGCAAGGCCTTAGCCCCTTGGGCCTGATGAGAGCAGTGGACCACAATGACCAAAACCAGTGACCCCTAGGTCACCTTCTTTTCTTTGTGATACAAGGCCCCAACCATCCCCCAAGCAAGAGAGGAAAATGTGGAGTCCCCTCACAGCATGTCCATTTGCTTTCATCTCCTTTCATTCCCATCTAGGATCTCCCCCAACCCCCAAACCCTGAAGGTGACAGATGGACCCACCAGGAGCCACATCCTGTGTTTGTCAACACTAGTTACCCCTGAGAAGGTACATGGAGGGTAGGTAGATAAGGCCCCCAGAGCCACAGCCGGATATGATTGCTCAACAGCCAGCTCCCCCAGGGCCAATGAGCCCAGGAGGTCAGAAGGGAGAGAAAGAAGACAAATTCTTCGAGTTGGTGAGGAAGTGGTGCTATTTTTAGCCCCCAAAGCAGCACAGGGTGGCTAAGCCTGTGGGAGAGAGACAGGACTTGAAGAGGTGGAGGTTACAGGAGACAAGATTCAGGGTTACATGGCCCTTTAAGGTTGGCTGGCTCCACCTGACCAGAAAAAATGGGCCCAGGAGATTTTCTGCAGAACGGGGGAGGGGGGCTCCGGAGCAAAGGCTTCCCTTCTGGACGATAAGGAGAGGGGCCAGAAGCTCCCCCCCCCCCCCCCCCCCCCCCCGATCAAAATCCCTGACTTTGGGAGTCACCCGCATTCCCCAACCCTCCCTAGCCCAGGTGACAAGGTCATTAAGAAGCAGTCAGTTAAAACATCCATCTACCAGGGAGGTGGGGGGGGTGGGGAGAGGGCTGGAGCTCCCCTTCTTGTTACAGCTGGGTGACTTGAGCCTCAGCTCCCACCCAAGATGCCCAAGGCTGCACCTCCCCTCCTTACATCCTATCCCAGGCTTAGGAAGATGGAGCATTCACAGTTCGGAAGGGGAAAAAGATGAAGGTGTCCGCTGAGAAGGCACAGCGGAGGAATACCGAGAGGCTGGGCGGCAGGGAGAGACCTCCACAAGCACAGGCATAGAGACCGCCTCTACCGGCATTTGCAGCAATAGCCAACCCCCCAGCACCCCCCACCCCATCTCACCTCTGCTCTGGCGTAAGAGAGGAGCCCCTAGAATTGACTGAACCTATTCTCTGAGTGCCTCCCACCCCCCACCACCACCTTTAGTCCTGCCTCTGGGCAAGTGCCCATCCTCGCTCAACACCCTTCCCCCCCACCTGGGAGTAACGACCCAAAGCCCCCTCCAAGCGCGTTTCAACCCCGGTGGTTTACCATCTTTCTACCCAGCATCTCCATTCTTCCTTTCCCTTCCCTCCCTCCTTCACCTGCCCTTCCTCCTCTGCCCCCATCTCCCCATCTCCAGGCAAGCCGACTGAGGCAGTATCCATTCGCTGGCCCCAGCCAAGGTCACTTATCATTGCGGGGGTGGGGGGCGGCGGAGGGTGTGCAAAGTGAGGAGGGCATTGGACTTTGAAGGAACGCTAGCCCACCTAAAACCCCCCACCCCATCCATCTCTGAGAGGTAGTAGCGACTTGGCTAAGGTCGAGAAAAACACCCTTACTCCATATATGTATTCTGATCCTCACAGCAACTAAATAAATATCCATTCAGACCACCACCAGCCCCCTCAACCCTAAAGTGGGGACGGTCAACCTCCCTCCCCCCCCCGACCCCCCAGTAAAGCATCGGAGGATAAAATGGCTGCAAGGCAAAGCAAGGATGCTTCTGCCCCGGGTGGGGTGGAGGTAAGAGACTGAGAGATGGGTCTCACCTGGCCTTGGCGCCCCGGGTAGGGGGAATCCCGGGTGCGGGCGGGGGTCCCAGGCGCGGGGCTGGCGGCAGCGTCGACTGCTGCTCCGGGTACCAGGGGAAGCGGCAATGCAGACCTGCCCCCCCCCCCCATACACGCTCCGGCCCCGCCTCCGCCCTCCTCCTCCCTCCCCCCCCCCACCCCCCGGCGCCACTGAGCACCGGGAGAGACCATTGTTGGGGGGGTGGGGAGCGGCAGAAGAAAAAAGGAGGGGATGGCCTCAGGGCATCGGGGAGCAACGATGGAGGGCCTAAGGGGGTTGTCACAGACACAGCTGGAGAGGACACACAGCACTTCCCCAGCCCGCTCCTAATAAAAGAAGAAAGGAACTAAGAAAGGAATAGTGATGTTAGGAAGACAAGTGGGCAGACAGAAAGGGAGGTGGGGAACAAGGCAGCCCCTTTCCCGGCGATCCATTCCTAGTATGACAGGACTCAGGAATTTCAGGGCTTCTCTCTGCCTCCAAAACACCTCCCTTCTTCCCCTTCTCCACTAATCCCAGCCATACCCTTTTCCCACGACCCTCTCCCCAGTCCGGAGTGCTCAGAATCCAAGTTTACCTGGCCGTTTTAGAGAAAGCAAGAATAGCAAGGTTTTTGATTCTGAACTGCCAGAGGTGAGACTCCTGGATAGATCCCTGCCATCTTTTCCCAGAAACAGAAGCAGCCCTCATTATTTATTTCCAGTGCAGACCTCCCCGACGTCCTCCCTTCAGTTGGTGGCAGCAGAGGTGAGTAGGGGAAGAAGCTGAGGGCGATTTACAGGCCTAACTAACTGGGCATTAACCCTTCTATTCATTTGCTCCAATGACTTAAGAAGGGACTCCTTTGACGCCCCATCCCATTCCTTTTACCACACATGTACACACACACACATACACACAGATTTCTGTTTTGGGGGCAGGAGATCCAAGACATACCCCTTAGTGATCAACCCTGCTCCAGAAGTGAGGGGAGCCCTGTGGTTTGGGGATATACATACTGAATGTCTATTCTAAGAGGTGACGGCTTGGCATATTCTGGACAGAGCACTGACCAGAGGCTCCTACCTGAGTTCTCACTTCAGTAAGCTGTGGGCTCTTGCTCAGGTTCTCTGCTTCTGGGAACCTCAGTTTCCTCATCTGGAAAATGGTGCGCTTGGCACCCTTTCCAATCTAGCAGTGTGTAATTCTACTTTACCAAACAAACATGGCAATTTCAGAAGGTGGGAATATGGTGGATGGAGAGGCCTAGCCGGCTGCGCTGCACCCTGAGAGAGCACTAGGAGGGATTTGCAGTGTTGAATTTACCACTAACAGGAATGTCCATCTAAAAACAAGAAACCAGTTCAAAAGTCAGAGTGTTTATTTCGGATCAAAGAATTACAATCCAGGGTACATTGATTTCGGTTGAAACCCAAACAGCGTCCCAGTTACAGGAGGTGGACTCCAGGTTTTTATTGGGGGGAAAAGGAAGATTAGATAAGTTGCTTTTTTTTTTTTTAAAGATCTTATTTATTTATTTGCCAGAGAGAGAGAGAGAGAGAGCACAAGCAGGGGGAAGGACAGGCAGAGGGAGAAGCAGGTTCCCCACTGAGCGGGGTCCCCAATGCAGGACTTGATCCCAGGATCCAAGGGCCTCAGGATCATGACCTGAGCTGGAGGCAGACGCTTAACTGGCTGAGCCACCCAGGCGCCCCTGGACTTCAAAACTACATCTTGGAAGTACTTGACTGTGCCAGTGAAGTTTACAATCAACTGAAATATGAAGCATAATGTAGCAGTATTAATTTACCATGAGAAATGTTACTGTTGCTCAGACTCATATCCAGCAATTCTCTTCTTTAAACCAAATCAGAATCAGAATGTCAACATATAAATGCACAATGACATAATTGAACAGGAATATTTTTATCTTTAATGGCATCTGGCCATCCCCAGTAAGGAGTCGTGCCAATGGGTTCAGAAAACTCTACTTGGCTACAATTCTCCACCCCCATCTCTGTTCTATGGGCAGCCTTGCCAATACTCCCGGACTACTCTAATTCTGTTGGCTAAAGCACTCTTTCCAGGATGGTATTTAGAAAGGCGGTGCCTCCCTGGGCCTCAGGGACTCTCCCTTTACTCGGCTTCCATCGCTGACCTCTCTTCAGCTTGATACATTCTTTATTTAAATATGTTAATATTTTCAATTAGGTTACAGCCAAATCTTGCTGGCAGAGAGCTGATTCTTCTCTTTAAGGTGACTTTGCATACTCTCCACTTATCCATTACTTGCTAAAATAGAAATATTATAGTCATACAGAGAAAGATTGTATATATTTTCCAGTTCTCAGGAAAGATTTGATTATTTTCCCCAGGAACTACAGACCCATGCACCCCAAAAGCTACTCCTTCACTGTCTCTCCTTTGCTGGTTCTATTAACACAAGAGTTCCTAGGGAATAGGTCCTGGCCCCTTTCCCCCTTCCATTCCCCCTTCCCCATTCTCACTTGTCAGATCAGATAGTCTCATGACTTTAGTGACATCTATATGCTGATGATTCCCACATTTATCTCTCCAGTGCAGACATTTCCACCAAGCCCAAATTCAAAATCTCCACCTGTAAACTCAATATCACTGCATAGATATCTCATTAGCATCTCAAATGTATTATCTGTAAACGAACTTCAGATTGAGGTCTTTCTCAACCCTTCACCGAGGTGCTCAGGCCAGAAACCTTGGAGTTATCCTTGTTTCCTTTCTTTATCAAGTCTTGTCAGCTCCACTTCAAAATATATTCTGAAATCTGTCCCTTCCCTGCTGCCCTCTAGTCTAACCCACCGCCATCTCTGTCCTTTGCCACATCAGCCTCTTAACTGATTTCCCCACTTCCAGTTTTTCTCTGCTAAAACCCATTACTCTCAGTGGTCAGGGTGATTCTCTAAAATCAAATCTAATCCAACAGATACTCTCCCAAGAGAAATGAGTGCCTATGTCCTGCAAAAAAAGACAGGCAGGGGAGTTTTCCTAGTGGCCTCATTCATCATATTCAAAAACTTCAAACGTCTATCAGCCAAAGAATGGTTAAACTTAGATAAACAAACTGGTATATTCATATAGGGAATACTACATGACAAATTTTTTAGAGACTAAAATACTACAGGCAACAGGATAAAAAGATCTCACAAACAAAAGATTGAGCAAAAGAAGCTGGACCAAAAGGAGTACATACTGTATGTTTCCATTTATACACTGTTCAAGGAAAAGCAAATTAATAGTAGAGGCTACCACCAGGAAGGGGAAACTGACCGTGGAGGGGCACAAGGGAGCCCTCTGGGGGCTGGAAATGTACTAACATCTTGATCTAAACAGTGGTTAAAGGGGTAATTACATATGTAAAAATTCACTTAAAACCAATGTGTTTTTCTGAGCCACCCAGGCGCCCCTGGACTTCAATTTTTAGAGAAAGTTTTTTTTTAAATTTTTAAAAAAGATTTTATTTATTTATTTGACAGAGATCACAAGTAGGCAGAGAGGCAGGCAGAGAGAGAAGTGGAAGCAGGCTCCCTGCTGAGCAGAGAACCCAATGTGGGGCTTGATCCCAGGACCCTGGGATCATGACCTGAGCTGAAGGCAGAGGCTTTAACCCACTGAGCCACCCAGGTGCCCCAAGAAAATTTTAATGAGATTTTACCACTCCCCTTTCTTTAAATCCTCCAATGGCTTCCTACTGTACTAAGAATTAAATCCAAACTCCTAATCATGGCCTCAAACTCAAAAGAGGGTTGCCTCTCCAACCCTCTTCCTCATATCTCTGCTTCAGCCTCACTGATCTCCCTGCTGTGCCACCAACATGCCCAGTGCAGACACAGCAGAGGACCCTGGCACTTGGGGGTCCTGCCGCTAAAACTCCCTTCTCCCAGATCTTTGCCGCGTCATTCAGGTCTCCACTCAAAAGTCACCTCTTCAGATGGCCCTCTCAACTCCACAGTCACTATCCTATCACCCTGCTTTATTGTTTTTTCTTACAAGATATCCCTCTCTAAAATTATTATTTTTCTTTATTTATTTTTTAAGTGTTTTGTCTTCTCCTACGTAGATTGTTGGTTCTAAGGAAGCAAGGACCTCATCTGGCGTATTTACTGGCTGGCTATACCCCAGTATCCATCAAGTAAACATGTAATGAAAGAACATTCCAAATAAGTTAAAGACAATTACCTTTAGTGCCAGTGATAGGTGTTGAACTAATAGATAAAGAATTTGTTTGATGGGGTGCGTAGGTGGCTCAGTCGGTTAAGCGTCTGCCTTCAGCTCAGGTCACGATCCCAGTCCCACATTGGACTACTTGCTCAGCTTGGAGCCTGCTTCTCTCTCTGCTTCTCCCTGCCACTCTGCCTGCTTGTGCTCTCGCTCTGATAAATAAACAAACAAACAAACAAACAAATAAATAAATAAAACCTTTAAAAAAAAAAGAATCTGAAGGAATATAAGTTAATTGCCTACTGAGAGTTGCCCCATTTTTAGTCTCTTTTCCAAAACGGCTTACGTGGGGGAAATAAGACTATGGCCCAGGAGGTGGTGAATGGGTATGTGGTAATGATGGTTAACCTTGTTAGAGCCTGACATGGGCAATTTTCTGACCACTTAACATTGATGAACTCACCCCACCTCCCCATTAACCCTATGAGATAATCACCATTTACAGGTGATGAGGTTGAGGCCCTGAATGGCTAAGCAACTTGACCTTAATCACACAACTCAGAAGTGGCAAAACGAGGATCAGAACCCAGGCAATATTGACTCAAAGCCCTAATGCTTTCAAAATGCACCCACCTAAAGCATACAGTTCAATGGGTTTTAACAAAAGTCTGCACCCATGTAAGCGCCCCCTTGATCAAGATAAAGAACTTTTCCTTTATCCCCCCCAAATACCCTCTGCAGTCCATATCCCCATCCCTGGCAACCACTGATCCCCTTTTGGTGACCATACATTAGATCTGTCTTTTCTAGAGTCTCATAGAAGTAGATTCATACAGTATCTAGGTGTCTGGCTTCGTTGTTCTGGGTCTTAGAGCTTCCCAGGGTTTTTAACCACTGCCTTATATAAAGCTTC